TGCTGTGGTGGCGGTGCATGACGCCTCGTTCAACAACCTTCCAGGTCACAAAAGTCAAAAAGGGTATTGGCTTGGGATTTCCACGCCGGAATTGATGAAGGACAGAACAAGTTTGCACCATATTCACTTTGTGCACTGGACTTCATCGAAGATTCAACGTGTGGTGAGGTCAACCCTGAGTGCAGAAGCCTACTCATGTTCTGAAGCCTTGGACGCTCTCAGCTGGCTTCGAGCGACTATCCTGGAAATCCTACATGGAGAGTTGGACATGCGCCACTATAAGGACCATTTGCATCGTGTGCCGGGAGTCACTGTGACAGACTGTCGATCGCTTTATGATTGCATGAAGTCTGAAAGGGTTCTTCTTTCAGACAGGCGACTTTCATTGGAGGCAGCAATCATTCGACAGAGTCTACAAGAAGGCATTGAGTGCAGATGGGTTCCTTCAGAACAGCAACTAGCAGATGCCTTGACAAAAGCGTTGCACAGAAAAGGTCTTGCCTATTTGAACGATGTTCTCTACTCCAACAAATGGACACTTGGTCCTGATCCACGACTACCTGAGACCTCAAGAAGCAGGAAGTTGGAGATTCCAGAGACAAAACCAAAGGAAGACAAAATTCAAGACCATGAGGAGGCAGAAGAAATCAACAAGAGACCCATCGAGATTGAGAAAGAAGAAAGCCCCAACAGTACCGCCTCAGCAAGTTCGACATCCATTGATGCAGGTGTATGTTCGAAGTCAATACTGATGCTCTCGATTGCACAGCAGTTCCTTCCAGCAAAGGCAGAACAGCAGGATGTAAGGACGATTCTGTGGTGGCCATCCTGGGAGTTGATGTTTGCGTGCTTGATCATCGTTTTGACGGCAGCTCTTTGGTACAACACGACATACTACACCCAATTGTTTCGATGGTATGAAGACCTAGCATTGTACAAACAAGGCGCTCTTGTTGCAACAAGCACAATGCTGGTGGTTTTTGTCGGAATGCAGGCGAGGTTTTCACAGAATTCAGAATGTTTGACTTTGATGTTGGGAGCCATGATGGTAGCAATGATGATGATTGTGAAGCGAATTGATGAAAAGTCTCAAACAACCTTTGCAATCATGGGCCAAGAGAGAAGAAGGACGCGTGAATTGATCGATGGTGGCATGAGACAGCTGTTCAATGAAACGAACATTTTGCTGACAGGGATGGACAACATGAAAGGAGCCATCAATGCGGACTTCAAGAAGATGTCGCAGTTCATCGCAGACAGCAACAGATTCACATACCAAAAGATGGATGACATTTCAGAAGAGTACAATTACAGGATTACCAAAGTCATCGACAGGTTGATCCGCATAGAATACAAGCAGGAAAGGCAAGAAGTCAGAGCTTTGGACTTGGAGAAGAAGTTGAAGCAAAAGAAAAGAGCAAGGACCCCTTCAATGAGTGAAGAGGCCAAAAGAGACATCCTGCAGAAGAGACAGGATCGAAGAGAAGCGCCCGGTACTCCAACAGAATCCGAGGTGATGAGCATTTTGGATACGCCAGAACCGCCGGAGCTCTATCTTGGAGAAGGTGACGGTAGACTGGCACCTCATGAAGATGAACGGATGGAAGAAGAAGATGATGAACCAGAGACAACAAAGTTGATGAAGAACAACACGATCACACAAGAGCTCTGGGAGCAGTCAACCACAAAAGAGAGAAGATATTTCTTGCTGATGGTGATGCTGGAAGCTGTATGCATGTATGGTGATGACGAGATCAGGAATGACATCATGCAACAGATGCAAATCCTGGCAAGTGAAGTTAATGAAGAAGCGGTGAGAAGAATGGCTGGAGCAAGCGGCTCGCAGCAACAACAGGCCATGGCAGTGGAAAACGAGCCACAGAATGTCGAGGAATGTGAAGAAGATGACTCATGACAACCCATGTCTCGTTTTCACACCATGCAGGTGTACCAAACCGGTACATTCCATGGGCCCTTACGGCTCAAATCCCGGAGGCCTTGAGCCCCTCGTGCGCGCGGTTGCAAAACCGTGTGCGTGGGCACTTAGCGCACTTGACAGTATATATATATATATATAAATATAATATTGAGTGCCTCGGCGTAGGGGGCCAGTAAATGTGTGGTCTTGGTTGACCCAGTTGAACAGGGTGTCCCGGCTGAACCAAGTTGACCGGGTTGAACCCAAATGACCCGGTTGAACGCAGTTGATCCAATTGACCCGATCAACTTCGTGCCAATGTTGTTTGTATAAATGATAACAAGATATTATTACCAAACCAGACGGAAAGTGCAGTTAGAGACGAATGCATACTTCATGCGCGAACGGTACAATGAATGCAGCTGTCAGAGAGACCATACTTTAAGTTCTGGCACCATGGAAGATACACGTTTTAACAAAGTCTTGACAAGCAAAGTTCTCTCAGGACGCATGTCGAAAGTAAAACAGCATCTAAGCAGTGGGTGTACGTGCATGCGCCAACCCATAATCGTACACGAAACATGCCAGAAACGCAGTGTCAAGCAAGCAGAATTGCACGACTCGAATACAATTTTCCACCAACACCAAAACATGTTGAAATTGAAATGTGATCGACAAAAAACGGCTCAAAGTTGCAACCAAGTCCAATATACAAACCAGACCAAACGCATGTTCCATTGACCACGAAGCATTTAACAAATGTTCGCCGATGGTCGACTTGCCTGTTCGATTGCCTGCGCAAAGTCCATACATCTGAAGAACCAATTCAATATAGCACAACAAAAGATTTGCACCAAGGAAGAGAGACGGGACGTCCAAACATCTAGGCGCACAATCCCTACTTCGACAGAGAATGAAAAGGATATATTACATATATATATATATTAATAAGTTCATATAGGTGACAGGAACCTTTTTCACCAAAGGAAGGGGAGGACAATGTATTGCAAGACAAACGCTGCACAGAACGCAGCATACAAGCATACAACTAGCTAAGATTCTACACAAAGCCAATACATGGGATGCTCCTCACAAGCGAAGCAGCTTTTTATGCGTTGACGCATTAATTAAACATTCAGGCTTGGCATGATGCTCAAGCGCCAGCGCGCAATGTGCACCAGGCGTATGAGCACGCAAGCACACAGCTCATACACGCACCAAGACTGAGACCGAGACACAACCACAGAATAAGCGAGACACCACCAAACAGGAAACAGGACAAGTCCACCGCGAAAACACAACCTGCACACCACCAAAACATGAGCCAGACACCACCAAAACATGACCAAGACACCACCTAAACATAACCTAGGCACCACCTAAACATAACCTAGGCACCACCTAAACATCACCGAGACACCACCCAAACATGACCAAAAGACCACGTAAACATGACCAAGACACCACCTAGACATGACCCAAACAGCACCGCCAACATGACCGAGACACCGGGACACCACCGCCCAGGCTGGGGGCCGTGGATCCGACAGCGCCCAGCAGCCTAAAGAGTGTACAACCGCAAGCTATCACTATTGGAGAACAACAACAACAACAACAGCCTGATGAAGGCCATTTCTACACCGTCCGAGTAGTCAGCCAATATCATACATTCTCCTACTCGATGACTTAGTGACTCGGTCGCTTACGGAAGAAGCCATATGTTGCACTCCGCAAAGTGGACGGGCAAGCTTCGGCCACTTCAGCCTGAGCATGAAGATTCCTGAAAATGCATGAAGGCATCACAAACATTCCACGTTCCCAGTCCAAGTGGAAGACGTTACACATCTTCTCCGAGCCTCACGCAGCTCGAGCAAACGAAACAGCATGACATAACATGACCGAATGAAACAACAGGACGACCATGTGCCCACGTTTCAGGCCACTGCTTACAATGAAAACCAAGCTGAACCCAGTGAGATCTGGACGGAGGTCGATGCTTTCGTCCAAAGCATGACCTGCATACATTGGCACTCCAGTCCCAAAGTGCAAACATTCGTATCTGCCATTTTGTGTGTTGTCAAAACTCCTTCGTCAAACAATGCAATCTGAAAGACCTGTTTGTTGCGCAGATAGTGATGCATCTTGGACTGGCTTTCTTCTTTCGCCTCAAAACGACACATTTAATCGAAAATTAAAGCGTTGCCAGGTCCAGGAGCTCCCATCCGCATCCACGTAGAGGACGCTACTAGGAACAAGGGACGCTACTAGGGGCTCCTGGCATCGCTACAAGAAAAAGGACGCTACTAGGAGCTTTGCGCGCGCCCGTGCACGCGGGGGGTAGAAGACGCTACTAGGAGCAAAGGGACAATGCTCTTGGCTAATACTGCATGAATTGAAAGGCCTGCTTCTAGAAAGGATACTGGTGCATCTTGGGGCTTTCTTCTGTGCCCTCGGCAAATGACAGGCAGCTGCCAACCCTGTTGGTGTGACCATACTTGAAAGGCCGGTGCCGAAAAAGCCTAGAAGAGCGTTGCGCGTCATGGCCAAATGATCCTGATGCAGGGATACAGGGCAGTGCTGGTCCCTATAAAAAGAACTCTGAGAACAAAACAGAAATGAAAAAATGGCAACGGCAACTTTAAACAGAGCCCTTTAAAGGAGCCCATATTGAAAGGGACCAAGTATCTTTCTTCTCTTTGTTAATTTTTTTCTCAAAGAACTCTGAGGGCAGATCTAGCGGTCTAGCGACTCAAACTGGACAAATCATTACGGCGGCATTGCATGACGCATTGCAAGTCAGCTTCAGGCGAGAATTGCAATTGGCGGATTTGTTTGGCCAGATTCGAGGTTTGTTGGCTGAAGAGTTGCAAGCTGAGGAGTGTTGAGTCTATTCAAAAGCTTTGAAGAAATAAGTTCACAAGCCCATACTTTGCAGCCAGTTCCACTATGAAGCAAAGAACCTAGCCAACTCATACAGTATTTTACGCTTCAGTATATACTCTCTTTTTGGGCCTGTGCCTAAGAGCCAGACTCTGGCGGCGGAATAAAAGCATAGTTCAAAAATGGTGCCCACCAAATGCATGTCATTTAAGTCTGTGCAACTGTGCAGCTACAAACATTGGCTTCAATTGTTGTTCTCGTCGGTGCAACAGCGTCTAATCCCATGTTGCAATCCGTGGAGGAGTACTCGATGCGCTTGCTGTGTGCAAAGCTTGTCATGCGGTGCACTCCCAAAAGCTGCCGCCTTTGGCGAAGCTTGTCTTACAGCTTTTGCATCACTGTCGAGTTGTTGGTGATGTGAAAAGATTCAATCAGTAGGATATATGCTGTGCTAAATTAAAGTAAACAAACCCCGAGCACCCCTCGAAGGCACCCTTGGGTGCACCCCTTGAATAGCTTTGGGCCTGGCATTCATGATCGAATTGGATCTGGCCAGTCAAACAGGGTGGACCTAGCGGTTGCTCCAGCATCCGCCAGGGTCGGTGACGCTCTGTCTGCTCTGCGCGTGGTGAACCTGGCTAACAAACACACTCAACTTGGTATTCGGCAGCAATTGGGAGGTGTCGAGCCTCCTGACAATGGGTGTTCTCAGGGTCCTTCGCCTTGGTATATATGGTAGGGCAGGACAGCAAAGTGCAGCTACATATAGACCTTATAGTCAAGTCATTTTAGAGAGAGAGAGAGAGATTCTTTATTTCAGCACACTGTTTTCAGTTCAGATGCAGTTGCTTTCCGACTCTCTCGCAATTAGGAGCCGACAGAACTTGGAGAGCTCAACGTTGAGGGATCTAGCTGTGCCTGTGAACTGACATGGACTCAATTTCCTCCTTTCCGACCTCCTTTCGTTCTTTTTGTCGCTATCTTTCATTAGTTGGACCGGGACCTTTAGATTTCTTCCTGCTGCCTTCCTTTCTATCATGCAAGCAAGCTGCCCAAAGATCTGAGGGTCTGAGTTCCCTCAAGGTCTCCTTGACCAACGCCGACCGCTGTGCGTGACGCTCAGAAAGACTGTCTGAATGCATCAGGCTTTGATTCTATTGTATATATATATGTGTGTGTGTGTACATCGCTCAAATTATGCAAGCGTAGACCCCAAACAGCTTCAAAAATCCATTTCTTGGTTCGCCCTACTTTCACCCCAAGAGCAAACTGCTTCATCAATTTGTTTTACACTCTACAAGTGCCTGACTCTGAAATCCACGCAGCGGATTCCTTGGAGATGGCTGCCAGGGCTGCCAGGGAATTTGAGCTGTTCAGTCCGATACCTGATGTGCAAAGAACGATTCCATTACACATCAGCGCCACTTTGGAACTGACCCAAGAAAAACACAAACTGCTACTTCGAAGCCCAGCAACTTCTGATACCTCCTTCACTTTCTGAGCTGCTGTGCAGAGTCTGTGGTGTATCTTGGGTACTCAACAACCTTGATGACACCAGAGAGCTCCAGTTCTGCTCGTATTGACACTCCAACTCTGTTCTCCCAATGGAAGAACCCAGCGTGTTCTCAGGGGAAGAAATCGGAGACTTGGTCCGTCTCGGTTGTGAAATGTCAAAGAAACAGCAGGACCCAGCGTCAGTTCCCGCTTCTGGGTCTTTGGACGCTTTTGCTTGGCCCTGGCAGCTTGCCTCATCTGACTCCTCCTGACCGCCTTCAAGGCTAAGTCTAAGTTTGCTCTCCAAGTCCTTCACAACTCTTTGCAGATATGCATGAGCTTGAAGAGGGTCACTTCTCGTAAACCACCCTCTCTGCTTGTGGTACCACTCCTTCAGCCCGCATGCTTGCGGATTCTCGTATTGCTGGTGCAACCCAGCACATTCTGCGAGGAGGTCTTTGTGCAGATTTGAGATGTCCATCATCACCCGTTGGCAAGACTTCCTCAGTGGCTCATGGAGGTCAAATACTAATAAAGCGATCGCCCAGCTCACAGGGAAAAACCCTTTGCAAAGCCATGGTGCTCAGGCAATGCCAAGACTACCGCAGCTAGTCTCAAAAAGTAGCCAAGCATAGGATGCACCGTCCTTGGAGCAGCAAAGAATACTGTATGACTGTAGGGTGGGGGGAGCTTCCTTTTGCTCTCAAGCCGCTTCCTTGAAGAAGCCCATCCTCGCACTATTCATTTGGTTCCTAGGTTTTTGAGGAAACTTAAGGACTGTTTTTGCAACAGTCGGCTATAGGGTTCACGAACGAAACTGTGATGCGCTTCTGGAAGCGGTACTCGCAAGCGCGACAATGGCAGTGGCAAACAGCGCAAACAACAGCGGCCGCTGTGGTAGTGGTGATAGTACAATTTGTTTAAAATGTAGCATTCTTCCTGCTCATTTCAGGCAGCTGGCCATTGCAAGCATAAGTTGTGATGAGAAGCTGTCAGAACTGTTCTCTGACAGGAATCAGGATTCACATACAATAAACATTGGAACGTTGTAAAAATCAAAGATCCTGCTCATGCTCTCAAAAAGTTACATACAAGCTTGGCTTCGATCCAAGGCATGAAACCTTTCTCTTGGTCATCCAATGTCACAGGAGCGAGCATCTCTGCAAAGGGCAAGCATGTGCTTCGATGCGCACGTGGCCGCAGTGTGCAATTTCTCGTCTGTTATTTCTTCTTCGGTAATGTTGGAGCACGAAGCAGTTTCTGGAAGTCTGATCATCCCTCTGACTGTACTGTAGAGTAGTTCCACCTGTATATACTTAGTTTATTGACCCACTGCGATGGAGGCTAGAGTAAGTTTCTGTTGAAGTGGTAAGACAAAAACAGGCATACGGCACTGGATGTGCAGATCAGCTTGCCTATATAAGTCACATACCCAAGTGCAACAAAGACTCCGAGGAGGTAGACAGCTGAATTCGTCGATGTAGAGCTCCTGCTTCACTTTCCAGATGTAGATGTCACAGGAATTGCTAGACTGCTAGACAACCACTGACGAGACTAGATGCTTAGATGCTGAACTCTCAAAGTGGGCTACAGCTACGGCTACATCCTCTGATTATATCTTGGAAACCTGCCTCATCCACGCGCCGCCAACCACCTGGCACTGGACAGCGTTCTGCCTCCGCCGCCAACCACAGCAGCAAATCAGAGGCAGATGAACCAAGCCTGAAATTGTCAAGCAAAGGCAAAACTGGTCGACACTTCCCTCCAGTCGCAGTTAAAAATTGCAATCGAGCTTGACAAAGCAATTCTGTGCAGTGTACACTTCATACCGCCATTTGGGATCGAAGTTTAAAGACCCCCGCAAACACCACCTCAACACGAAACCGCCTTGGAGAACCTGCCCTGTGCGTGTTGCGCTGGGAGTCTAAATGCAAATTCAAAAGCTGCTGATCCATGAGGTTGTGGTCAGTGGCAGCAGGCTCATCCGGCAATGGCGCGGACAAAGCTTTGCATTGCAACTGCGCAAACCCTGAGAGATGCAACTGCTGGTGCAAATGGTCAGTGCTACTGCCTAGTTTCTGTCAGAGTAGCTTCAAACTCATCTCCTCAGCTCTCTCTCTCTCTCTTCCCAGACTCAAGGACCATCTAGTCTGAGGCTCTAAAGCGCTGGGCTGCCCGAAAACGCAGCCTCTCTGCCTTTTCAGCATTCACCTGCACTGAGGACAGGTGGACCATGGCCCAACGGTGGACAATCACGGAAAGGCTAACTTGTATATAGTCCAGATTGTTTTAAGAAGCCAGCGTCTGATTGAAGGGTGTGCGTGTAAAAGTGATGGGAAATGTGGCAAATTGCATGGGGTTGTTGGGTTGAGATCCAAGGATTCTTGCATTTTAACAAAGAGCCAGAAATGCAGCGGTTCTCTCAAAACCAGGATATGTTAGGTAAAGCCAAGCAAATAAAACTCAAGACTGCTTCTGGAGATTAGCAGGTCAGGGCAAGGCCTCAGCATTCTGCCTGCGCGCAGGACTTACATAAGCTGGTTCCAACTACGAGCGCACAAGCTGTGCCCCACATTATTGACTTCTTGCAACTCCGTCCTGTTTCAGCCAGAAAACATAATAGAAACAACTTCCACCATCTGTGCCATACAACTGGAACACTCTTGCAAAAGGGATTGAAGGAACATCTATGTGCTTCGATGCCAACAGAACGGGCTGCGAAGGTGCAATGATACGTATGTACAGGTTGGGGCCTATGTTATGTTGGCAAACACCAAGTTCTATATACAGCAGCAATTGAGCGCAGCACAAGGGAAAACTAAAACTCCATTCAGCGCATGTTCCAACACCAATTGATCGCATGCAAGGGGCATGCCAATCAAGGTCCTTTGCCCGATGTGTGTCCAACTCAACAATGCTGCAGGCACTCAGATCAATCCCCAGGTGCCAGCTTGTCTCCCTGTCAGAACAGTGTTCACTTGTTCTTCATCCGCCAAGAGGGTGCTTTTTCACTTGCTTCCATCGCAACTGTGAGCCTTTTCCAAACTTGCATGTGAATGCCGAATGTGAGTCCAGTATACTTTTTCGACATGTGCATGCACAAATGCAACTGCTTCATCAAAAAGTCCATCGACCTGCCAGTGCAATACTGGCTGTTCCAAGTGTCTGTCCTAAGCATCAAGGAATCTGATGTGAAAAACACGGCCCAGTCGAATGACACCCAGCATTCGTCCGTACGCTGTACTCAGGAGCGATACCCTCATTGCCGTTGCATCCCAGAACTGCTGAACCTGGAGTCATGCAAACACTGGCCATGCAGTGTGAAAGCACACTGGGTTGCCGATCTGGGAAACAGAGTTAAACAAACCTGAGAAGGAGGATATGAAAACCAGTGTCTGCAGTTCTGGCTGTTGCGCAACCTCTCTCACACTCCCCCCTTCTATCCATCCATCCATCCATCCATCCACCCACCCACCCACCCACCATCCATCCATCCGCCCACCCTGTCGTCAAGCCGGCCATCCATCTCTCTATCTCTCGGTCTATCTCCCAATCTCTCCAGTTTATCTCTCTGTCTCGACATCTATCAGACACACGTTCCTCTTCTGTCCATCCATCGACCCACCCATTCCTCTCCTAGCCATCCACGAACTATCCAAACTCTACACCGTAACATCCATCCAGATCTACTTCATCTCTTTATCTCTGCAGTTTATGTTCTTAGTCTATCACGCTTCCATCGGTCCATCTACCCACCCATCCATCCAGCTAACAATCCATCGACCTACCTGCGGGACAGAGTCCCCAAAAAGTTATACAACAGCCTAATAGGCGCCCTTTTTTAAGCTATCAGCCCTTCCAACAACTGAGTGGATGCTCTATCTTCTCAAGCATTGTTCTTATCGAGCCACCTATCCCCCAACATCCACATCTACTTTCTGACATTCTCTCCTCTTTTACCCATCCATCCATCCACCCCTTTCATCCATCCATCCACCCACCCGTCCATCCAGCTAGGAATCTATCGATCTACCTACAAGCGCAAATCGAAACTTTTTCACACTCCGCCAGGCCTTTTCCCAAAGTTGTGTGGCCCGCCCATTGTCTTATTTGTTGAAAGCACACTGGGTTGCCGATCTGGGAAAAGGATTTAAACCGACAGTGACAAAAAACAAAAACAATCGTGGACACAGTGGATGCTTGAGGCGCGAATTCCCTTGGAGTACGAAAAAGCTGGTCTATTTGTATAATGTGTAGTTGCGGCAAACTGTGTAACAGTGTAACTCGTTGGAGTTGTTTACAGGTTTCACCCTGTCCCAAAACCCTTCAAAAAAACACTGTAAATACCACACAAGAATGTCAAGCACTGCTCTGAGACCTAGGCGAAACACACACACACACATGTTTGATCTTTCTCTGCCCAATATCAATAGTTGCCTAGTCATCTGTATTCATTAGTTTTCACTATAGTACATTATAAAATTGAATATATACAAACAGAGAGTTACCCGGCCCCCACCCCAGCCTTAACCTCAGGTGATGAAGATGAATCATATGAAGAAAATAAATAAAGAATTAATTAACTAAATTAATAAATAAAGTAGTCTCCATACGCAATAAGGTAGGTTCACTGCGTGTATATACTAAATTTATTGTTCATTTGTTGTCTTATCACAAACTGCCAAAACCAAAAAACAAAAAAAAACTCTGAGGAGATTGTTTTTTGTTTTCATTGAGTGTTTTTGTTGTCATTGAGTTTTTTGTTTTTTTGGTTTCATTAATTTGGTTTCATTAATTGAAAAAACAAAAACACACAAGGTGTTTTTTGGTTTTTGCTTTGGTCTATACAATCACCAATGCCCAAAAACAAAAAAACATAAGGTGTTTCTTGGTTTTTCGATAAAAAATAGACGAACACCAACTTTCCTATAAAATTTTACATTATATGTGGTGGAAGTGAAGGCATCAAATGTTTTTCAATAAGAGGTATAATTTAATATATGGAAAATATGTAAGAAAACTATTGGAAGCAAACAATGAAAACTATGTTGTTGTAAAATTCCTTCATTCATTTAAGGTCAATTATGACCAGATTATAAATAAGTTATTGGGAAACCGATCTTATTAAAGATGACAAAAAGAAAATAGGAAACATTACCTTTGGAATGCTAGAAAATCACACAACACGGCACAGAAGAGTTACGGTTTCACACTTTGAGGGAAACTTGCCATTACCAGAGGGAATTTGGAGGAAGGATTTGTGCCATACAACAAGAAATAGAAAAAGAAGAAGAAACAAACATACAATACCTATTACATCTTAAACACCACCAATAGAAATGAATTAATTGATGGGCTTAGAGATATAAAAGAGTTGTTCCTTTAATATCACAATTTTTCAATGTATGAAGCATAATAAGTTTTCAGAAAATTATATTGAGGTCTATCTAGTGGAGAGTGATGCCTTCACGATCCATGAAGACGATTTGACTAGAATGATGGGTTTTTATATAACTATTTCAGACTGGAATATTGAACTTTGAAGAAGGCATAGGCAAGTGGAGACTGACAAACAAATCAATCAATTTTCCAACCAATAAGTACATATTTAGATATAATGACTTAATTGAAATTCCCAAACACAAAACCCATGCATGATTAGAGCAAAATTTGCTGGATCGGGCAAGAGTTACATAGGTCAGTATTTTAAAACGGTGCATGAACAAATTGTGTTTGTAGTGCTTCTAACCGGTTAAATCAAGAAATAGAAGGTGACGCAATAACCTTTTAGAATTCCAATTCATAAGGGGGATGAACTACCAGAGTTTGATCATAACAATTTTGATGTCATCTTCTTTGATGAAATCTATATACTGTAACAAATCTGTAAAATCTAAAATTTTATTGAACAAATACAAGGACAATAAAGTTATCATAGGCGCCGGTGATACAAAAAAATTAGAACCAATCAATGATTTAATTAACACCCAGTTAAAGACCACAATATGGTAAAAATTATGCTGTTCAATTTGTTCTCTGAAGTCAATGAAATTGTCCACAAGGTTCATTTGATATCTGAATTGTCCACAAGGTTCATTTGATATCTGAAAATATCATTCAAACAGGTATGCAACAGGCAAAGATGGTAGATCTTTGGGGGGGGAACATATATATATATATAACCATTCAATCACCGCGCTCTCTCTATTTTTCCATTCAACTGAAGTGCACAGGGTGGCGTATTGCCACATCAAGCAACTGAAGCCACCAACTTCAAGCTCCCACTCAACCCACTTCAACCAAGCTCAACTTCTTTGGAAAGGAGCAATCACCAAGCTGTAGGAGCGAGACTAAGGGCAGGGTACCGTAGAACCTTCAGGTGTATTCCACCTTCCGACCACAAGAGGTGCATGAAGCACCTCATATCTCAAGCTGCCATGGTCAAGCGCCTTCATGTTCCCATCATTCTGAGTTGGAAGGCCCAACGCAGCCAGGATTGTTCGGAAAATGTTTCTGAAAGTCTTACCGACAAAACTCCAACTGGACTGCAGGTCGTAATCTTCCAAAACAGAAATCAACAATTTCACGGAGGTCGGATAAGCATCACTTCGCTGATAGGTGTTTAGCCCGCGTTCGTCTTGGTTTTGGTCTGTGGCAAACCCACAAGCAAAACAGCACATGGATTGATGACATCTCGTAGTCTCGTAGCAAAGAAGATCAGCACGACAAGCCGAAAGCAGATCACCTGCTCTGCAACGAGTATGGTCTCCGCACCAAGACTATATGGTTTTTCAACAGCAAAGAAAGCTCTTCCGTATTGCCCCATAGTTGCACTAAACCATCAATGCAAAAACCAAGCTTTTGCCAAATGCTCTCAAGAACAATACTTCCACTCGCCAGCCTGGCCTCAAAATGGAACAAGAGACATTCACGCAGCTCGATCGACACAGTCACGATCAGTCCTCCGTCCGGAAGATGGCTAGCCATATGCTTCCCTGTAACTCCAGCAGCGTCGGCTTCGGTCTCTGAAGACATGGCTGCGCCCCTAACTAGGCAGGCCCCCGCAAGCACCCAGCACAGCGAGAGGGGGCAGCAAAGGGAAGAGAGGAGAGAAAGCTCAAAGTATGAGTCGACAACCGGAGGTGAGCCGGACTTGAAGAGATGCCCAAACCATGGAGGCAAAAATTCCAACGAAAAACTTTCTGAAAGAAAAGAACCATGCGCCGGAAAGGCCAGGTCATGGTTGCTCAGGTGGCCCTCACAAGTTGGTCAGCTTTTGCGCTAAGCCTC